TGTGTGTGTGTGTGTGTGTGTGTGTGTGTGTGTGTGTGTGTGTGTGTGTGTGTGTGTGTGTGTGTATTCATAACTACATCTTTGTGTGAACAGAACTGAGCTTTAGATGATGAGAGTGAGCACAGAGGCAGGTTTGGGGAGTGAAGTATGCCACTGAGGGTAGAACAAATGTATGTTTCCATTTGCTACATTTGAGGAGACAACGTGGAAACACCGCAGACATCACTGAATAAAACTGTGTGGGCAGTGAGTTGGTATGCTTTATTTTTCATAATATGGTTTCTGCTGCTGCTGGGCCGTCTGTTAGACAACAAGGAAAACATAATATTAATATTACATAGGATATTATGTGCTGTGCATTTGTCTAGAACATTGCTCAACAATACATAAATAAATAAGAAGGACCATAGTTTATAAAAGATAAAGATGTCACTGTGACATCATCACAGGTTTACAAAGGCTTGAGGTGTTCTCGCCATCACCTTTTCAACTCTTTCATAACTCAGGCCTCACCGCTGAACTCAAGGACAACACATGCTTATCAGTCAGCAGGTAGTCCTTCAGTATCCTGTTTTTCCTCTAATGTGGAACAGAATTTACTAAGTGGACATCACTTAGTGATGTTAATGAGACATGTCTTAGAATAAGACTATTTTCAGTCTCATTAGTTAATAAGACATAAAACTATGAATTGAGAAAATTAACTCATCAAAGGAAGGAAGCAGATGGTGTTTTTATTGACTTCTTGCTGCCAGAGAACCTGCCTCCTAATGGGCATCTGAAAGAAGGGAGATTTAACACGCACCCCCACTGGCTTTATCTTCCGTCATCTCAGGTACATATAAGACAGTACTACAATATTAGCTAGTTGGTTGTTTCACAGTCTGCAGAAGCAGACACAGTCTGGACGGCGCGTTAACAAGCTAACCCCGCGTCAATCCGCGCTAAGACCCGAACTCTTTCATGGCATTTTTAATTTCTCTTTGATATTTGGGCATATTGGGACTCGATGAATGTAAAAACAAAGAATTACCAGGGTTTTTTTTGTTTATTTTTATTTTTTTACCTAATTTTTGCTTCTAAGAAACATCAGAGCCACATATGAGGATATTCGTTTAAACTTTCGATAGAACAGTAGCAGTATAATGTCCTCGTAAGTGGATATCTGGCCCTTGTAGAGCAAAATTGAGTATTTTGTTCTAAATAACCCAAAATGTGATGTCCACATGTGGACGCCAGGTCCTAGGAGGATATGTATATAACTGAAGTTTCCAATGAGACAAAACACAGGACAGGGCTCCCAGGGGGCGGACCTTCAGGAGACAGCATGACTTTTGAATATCCTAAGAATATGTGAAAAGCACAAGAACAGAATGTGGTTAGGTGAGAAATACAAACTAGAGGATATAAGATATACATGCAGTGAATTTCCAAATGCAGTAAGCTCTCAAATGCCATTTGTTTTTCAGAGCAAAGATGTGCATGTATCCATTCATTTTATTTATCCTTTCCTAATGATGTCCATTCATCTATTTCCTTATTAAACCGATTTCTAGTTTCTTTTTATTTTCTCTCTCTTAGCTTTTCAGCTCCACCTCAAAGTGCTTTTCAGCGCTTTGAGTGCTCAGAAGAGTAGAAAGGCGCTATATAAGAACCAGTCCACCTTTTTACTTTTGCCTGCCCAACTTTATCAACCACTTCTTCCACACACTTTAGGGTGGGTGCACAGTAGCTCATAACCTGTCATATTACCAGTCCAGCTCTGCTTGTAGTGTGGAGTCTGTCTCACAAGAGCTAGTTACCAGTCTCTTCCCACTTTGCTGGGTGACCTTTTTAACATTGAGGTAGTGGGCACTGTCAGCCCCAGTGGCGAGCTTTCTAAGGCTGCCAGTTTCCATCAAGCTCTGTTGCTGTCAGGAGCCTAGCACAGAGTGAGTGGTCCACAGAGTGCTTTTCTTTGGTAGCCATATCTGTAATCTACATATGTGGGGGTGGGGGAGGGGGCATCTGCAGGTTGCTCATTAAGCCTGTGTACTGAGGGCTTACCATATAAAAATATCAGGCCATATGCAGCTCATCGAGGTTACAGACATACCTCGATGTCTGTACACACGCACACATTTAAGCTCAGTGTGGTGCTTCAGCCACAGAGTGCCTTAGCTAATGAGATCTAACCAGCAGAAGTGGGAATGAAAAGCACTCTGTGTATTCTGTGATTAGATTATCCATCATCAGGAAAATGTCATTTCCTTTTGTCTATTTTACTGATTTTATGTTTAAGTTTTGTAATACTTGTTTGCCACGCCACTACAGTCACTTTTAACCTAATGTTTAAGCATTACTCAAGCTCATTTACAGCTTTTTTCTGTTGATCGCTATCACTGGTCCTGAATGCATCATAAATTAATCAGATAAAATATTTGCGGTTTTAAAACTGTTCATAGCTTTGACACATATGTGTTCAGGGAACAAAAGGAGACCTATATCTGGCCTTGGTTCCAAAGGTCTGTCAGCAGTTCTGCATCTCGTATACATACATGCTTTCTCCCCCAGTCCAAGGACGAGCTTTTCAAATGGTCTGGAGACTAAACAGCTCATGTGATCATGTGAAACCACCTTCCCAGACTATTGCAGCTTATGGGTGCTGTGCTGGGAGAGGTTACAGTGGGAATGAATGTCAGTGAGACTTTTATGGAATACCAACAAAAATGAGGCTGTATCCTTCTGCTCATGCCCTGAAAAAGGCCTTTATTGTGGGAGCTGGCTTAATGCACTGTGCCATGATCATAGGGCATAGACTGCTGACAAAAATCATTTCAGTCCAATTAAGTGTTATACTGAACACTTGAGTATAATTAGTTGTTTGTTTCTTTTCTCTAGCCGCTAATCTCCTTATTCACCTTATATTCACCTCTGCACTGCTGTTCATGACAGGGAACAGAGCCAAACAGCTGAGGAAGTAGAAGAAGAAAGTCAGGGAAGGTGATGATCTGGGGCCATAAGGGAGAGTGAAGAGTGCTGAGATGGGATCTGGACACTGCGCTATTCCATGTCAGCTGAAGGGCTTTTTCCATCATCTGTCAGTTTCCTGTAGAGAGAAACCTGCTGATGGCAGGAAGATCCTCTCAGCTGGGTCAGTCTCCTCCATATGTTTCTTGCAGGCTGTGTCAGAGTCTGTTAAAGACTGCGAGGAGCCCTGATGGCTGACAATATCCAGAGTTAACACAGGGCTCTTAAGGCTCTCTACTGTAAAGATGGGATCCCACCACCACAATTCAATTCAATTAATTCAGTTTTACTCATACAGCACCAAATCACAACAACAGCTGCCTCAAATCCCGTTATATTGTAAGGTAAAAACCCTGCAATAACACAGAAAACACAAACAGTCTATGAGCAAGCACAAAAAAGTTCCCTTTTAACAGGAAAAAGCAGAACCAGGCTCAGGGAGGGGCAGTCATTTGCTGCAACCATTTCGGGGTGAAGTGAGGGAGACAGGACAAAGACTTACTGTGGAACAGAGCCAAAGATTAATAATAACTCGTGATTAAATGCAGGGTGGTGTGTAAACACCTATTAAGTGAAAAAGGTGTGGAAAAGAATCATGAGAGGCCTCCAGCAGTCTACACCAAGGATTCATATAGTCCTAACTATATGTTCTGTCAAAAAGGAAACCACTAATGGCATGAAAGCATGGATAAGTCTAGAAGTGGTATGTAACTGTGTACATTCACTCAGTACATTTATATTTAAGAACTTTACTGAAGCAGAGTTTTAGTGTATTTCTGTTTCTGCATTTTGCTGCTTTCTACTTCAACCTCATATTTTGGATGCAATATTTGACTTTGTACTCATACAACGACCAAGGAGGAGAGGAGGCTGCAGTGGAAGCGGGTCACGAGAGCACCCCGACTGTCACAAAACGGCCGGAGGCCGAGCACCAAAAATCAAACCCACGTGCAGAAAACCCAAAGCGGAGGTTGAAGAAAGGGTTTAGTAAAGGTTTATTAACTAGCACAGAAATGACGTTTACGATAGTCCTTGATTTAAAGCTTGACACATGGGGCATGAGGGTCTTGGCCAGGGGAGAGGGATAAGCAAGGGGACAGGTCCAAGAAAGCATCGGCAGCTGCTGGTGATTAGGTACGTACTGGAAGAGAGGACAGCAGTGTTAGAGCGGTAGCCAATGAGGAGTTCTGGAGAGGGTGGAAGCTATGAAAATCTTCGTCTTACTGTGCAGGTGGGAGATGGAAGCGTTGAGGGAGAGGTGGTGCGGTTCAGGTGGGTTTGGTGGTGTGTGGCAGCTGTCCTGAGCGGTGAAGGTCCAGAGGTGGTGTAAGGGCAGGAGGGCAGGCAGGTGAGGCAAGGAGATGATTCTGAAAGCAGGCGGGTTAACCAGATTTCCAAGACGAGAGGTTCAGTGTGATGGAATTTCCAGGAGTAACTAGAACACAAGATGCAAGCTTAGTAGAGCACTTGAGATTCATAGACATGAAGCATGAGGCCTGGTTACCAACAGAGAGTAGTTGACGAACTGGCAAGGAAGCAGCGTCAGCGGGCAGCTTAAATCTCCAACCTGATTGCCTCAATCAGCTTCAGGTGAGGGAGGCAGTAGGCCCTGCCCATGGGTGGATACCAGGGAGGGCCAGACCTTCAGTGGAATTTTACAGCCACACACCCAGACCATGACACCGACCTCCTCGAGCACCGGAGCTGCCTTCAGCTGTTCAGCGCCAACTTTAAAAAGAATGAAGAAATTAAGAGATATTGGAGAGCAACAAGGAACCGTTCACACTGAAGAGAATTCTCGGTCTCACTGCCAAGGAGGGCCTCCAAGTTGTTTTCTGCTGTGGTAAAGAATGTTGCGAGTAAAAATATTGAACTCAAGAAGCTGGTGTACGTGTACCTGATGAGGTATGCCGAGGAGAAACAGGACTTGGCATTGCTGTTTATTAGTATATTCCAGCGGACCCTTAAGGACCCAAACCAGTTCATTAATGTCATGTATATGATTCTGAAAAGCATCTTTCTATATTATTATTATTATTATGTGGCCTTGCAGCAAGGAGATCCCCAGTTCAAATCTGCTGGTCAGCAGGACCTTGGTCTGTGAAGTTCGCATGTGGCTTCCCTCTGTTCATGGTGGTCTATGGACCACCATGAACTTAAAAGGCTGCAGAGACAGATATCACCATGTGATCCAGGTGATGGCATCCTTCATGCATCCTTTCATCAGGTCCAACACCCCCCACAGCTTTCTGCCAAACACTAATTCAAAGGGAGAAAATCCTGTGGAGGCCTGGGGCACCTCCAGCACTGCAAACAACAAAGGGTCTAACCAGCGATCCCAGTTGCGTTCATCTTCGTGAGTGAATTTATGAATCATGGACATGTCAGAGGTTGGTAGATGCTGGTCCAAACAGATTTAATGTCCAGTAATTCATACAGTTCTTTTACTTTGTGAGACATGAACATATCGATATCTCTTTCAGAATGCCAAGTAGGGAGATGACCTGAAACAGTGCCTGTGCTACACTTGGCTCGACAAGGTCCATGCTAATGTGCTCAAATGGGACTTCCATTAATGGTAACGGGCACAAATGCGCTTTTGGAATTTCCAACTAGTTAACTAGGCTGAGCTGAGCATAGGGTGTCGTCCCAAGTCTGTTCTAGTGGAAAATGTTCCATGAAGTGAGTTACCAGGACCGGCGGTGCCTTCACGCCCTCCTCAGTGTCGGACGACCGTGTCGCTGCTGAGCACAGCACAAACCCTGTATATACCCTTTGGCACCTTATTAGAACCCAGTACGTCTCTCTGGGGAGGGTGTCAGAGGGCCAGCAACGCAGAACACTAGTCCCACCTCCATCAGACACTGATGCGATCACCAGCCTCAGCTGTGAGCCTTCCAGCCACACTGACAGGTGGTCCTCGGCCAATTTTACAGCAATTTCCAGGATAACCAGCCGATGAAAGTGGACCCACTCCACCGTTCCAGCCCGAAGCCACTCGTTCCACATCCCTGAAGGTCCTCTCCATGACAGGGAGGCTCATAGTGTAGTCGGGCCTCTCCCCACAGGAGCGGCAACAAGCGGTAGGGCCCACTCCTCCTCCGGCCACCAGCACACCTCCACCATGGGCGCAGAGATCTCCTTCTCCTAGGCGTCATCTCCCTCCACCATCCGGTGAAACATCACAGGGAGTTTTCCAATACCTCTGTCTGCCGCTCGGCTTGGCCCTGCACTGCCTTCAGTCATTTACGATGACTGTTACAGTCAAATCACCATTTGCGCCAGTGACTCAGGCGGCTGCGCGGGACGAGGCTCCGACATGCCGGCCGGGTTTTGGCACCATTTAAAAGGGCCAGCACAACTCAGTACTAAGCCTGCGTTCTTTGTGCTTTATTCATTCACACATGCCTGCTTTTCCCAAGACCTCGCACCCAGAGGTGGAGTGCCTGCTTGGTGCTCCGTTCCAGTCGTTGCTCCATCAGCTTCTTCGCACTCTCTCCTCTTCCCAGTGGCTACTAAAATGTGGAAGGCATGATTAGATGACGTTCACCAGCTGTGACAATCAGCCTCCCCCTGACACCATGCCCTAAACCCACTGCTCCACCCGTCCTCTGCAGTTGAGCCACCAACCACACCCCACGACAAATTCATTAATTTCTCATTACTATGCATTACTCTCATATACTGGATTATGTATAACATGCCTACAGTCTCACACACTTACCTAAATCCCTATCTAATGAGGACACGCTCCCTTTGAGTGTTTATGTTTTTAACACAAGCTAACAGCATAGCTGAAAATGACGATGCATGCACTTCAGGTGTTCATTGTCAGCCAAGGTTTTTCTGTCTTGTGCGTAGTTTGCACTTTAAAATCACATTCATGTGATTAAAAATAAAATCAGTCCAATGGCTACTCCTCAGATGTTGCAGACCTCTCTTCCATATCCTCCTCCTTCCACATGAAATGAGCTAGGATGACTTTATGTACTTTAAATATTCTTTAAAGATAAAATTTTGTTACTGTGTCAGGTGTGTATGTGAATTACGTGCACATACAGTGTGTTGGTAAACTTAAAAGCATAAAAATGCGGTAATTTTATTTTTCTGTTTTTGTTGGCCATGGCACCTAAACTATGTAGCATTATCTGTCTGCACTGACATGAGAGTCAGAGAAGTATTAGCACACAACTTCTGAGGCCAGTAAACAGCCCCCTCTGCTGGGTATCCTAGCAAACTACATGGAGCCGGTCTCTGGTACCTCTGCAGCCTCTTGATTTTCCAGGTAATTTCCAACCGCCTCAAAAGTTTGAAAAAAAAAATCTCACCTATACAATCTAAAACTATACAATCCATTTTTTTCTGTCCATCCATCCATTTTCTTTTCTTTTTCTTTGTCTGTGGCTGGGTCGCAGGGGCAGCAACCTAAACTTATCTGAGGGAGCACGAGGCATATCGAGGCCAGTCGAGAGCTGGGGCCTTCTTCTGGTAGGTAATGCCTGAAACACCTCACTCAGGAGGCATCTTAGTCAGATGCCCAAACCAGCTCCTCTCTCAGGTTGCTGAACGCCTCACCCTATTTCTAAGGCAGAGCCCAGCTACCCTTGGAAGAAAGCTTTTTTTCAGCTGCTTGTATCTACAATCTCATTCATTACACTAAACACATAAGTGATTGTGGTGTCGTCCAAATCCAGCATAACATTCTGCCTACTGACAGGTAAATTGAATAACAGTGATTATCTCTTCATCATGGCAGCTGTGAGTGGGTGGAATATATTAGTGAGTAGTGAACATTTAGTCCTCAAATGATGTGTTGGAAGCAAGAAAATGTGCAAGTAGAGGGGTTTAAGAAAACAAAGCCCAGATGACTGGATCAGAGCATCTCCAAAACTGCAACTCTTGTGGGGTTTTCCTGGTCAGCAGTGGTCTGTCTAACAAAAGTGGTCCAAGGATGGAAGGATGGTGAACCAGAGACGGGGTCATGTGGCGCCAAGCACTACTTAAGCCCACGTGGTCCAATCCAATAGATGAGCTACTGTAGCTCAGACTGGGAAAAAGGTTCATGTTGGTTCTGATAGAAAGATGTTAGAATACACAGTGCATTGCAGTTTCTCAACTTACAACTTAAAGGACTTAAAGGTTACGGTCATCACTTAATTGTCCTGGCTTTCTTCTAGTTCATTTTTGTAGTTCATGTGTTAAATCAGCTTGCCTTGTGTTTGATATCATTCACCTACCTGCTTTCACAGACCAGTGGATATGGGCTTTGGACTCATAGTAGACACAGTGGAAGCCTGCCTCCACATCAAGCCTGCACAGCATGTCATACATGCTCTTCTTCCGGTCTGAGGTGGTGATATCCACCGCTCGGCCGTGATAGTGCAAAGACTCTTCAGGATAATAGCCATCCTGATATTTCTTTCTATTAGCTTCAAAAAGAATTTTAAGTTAAGCTACACCTCATGATATAATAGATATCCATAGTTTAATTTTGTCTTTATTCCCCAACCCCAGCAAGTTAATTGCTGAGGTTGGGGAACACAATCACCACTGTGAGAGAGAAGAGACCAAAACAAACAGACCAAAAGGGGAAAATGAAATGAGTTCCTTGTTTCTTATTTAAGCTTATCATTTTTGGTTTTCCAGCCCACATTTTAATCATTTTGATTTAAAACTTGAAAGATAAAATGGAAAATAACATAACGCTCAACAAACAAACCACTGGTCCCCCCATTAAAGAAAAAACACTTTCTCCTGCCAGTGCTTCCAAACAAGCTATACGTCTTTTTTTTCTGATTCTCATGAACTTTTATCATCCGATCTGAAGCCTATAGAGTGGGAAATTTAGACAATAGGACTGTTTTATGTTACTATTCCCTCCAGTTGGACTCGCATTGGTTTGATGAAATGAAAACCTCCATCATGTGCATTAAACATTAAAAAGTAACAAACCTGTTTTGAAAATGTGCGGATTCGATAGTACAAATATTCATGTAAAAATGGAGGAAGTAAAAAGTTGTTCAAAAACCAAAAAAGTACAGATACCTGAAAATTCTCCTCAAGTACAAAAACAAAGTACTTGTACACACACACACACACACACACACACACACACACACACACACACACACACACACACACACACACTGCACTGTCATGAAGAGTAGAGTCTGATATATAGTTGTGGGTTTTCTGTGTTTTTGTATTTCCACTTAGTTTTTTTTAACTAAACAATGACCTGGTTTAATATGTCTTGTTGTTGATCTGACTTTGCATTTAAATCATTTTAGAAACTGTTTAGGACCAGATGATTCTTTTAAATAGCATCCTCATATGCAAACCATTAAAGGTGGTTGGGTGTCATCAAGGGGTGTAGACTAGATCTCCTGAAAGCTGCACGCTCAGTCCTGTCTAAGTTTACATCCACAGTCACAGTTTGTATTTTTTTTTTTTTTTCAAAGTCAAAGTCAACTTTATTGTCAATTCTGCCACATGTACAGGACATACAGAGAATAGAAACTTCGTTACTCTCAATCCCTAGATAAATAGAAAATGAACATTTAAATATAAGAGTGATTAAAA